GGGGATCAGGAGGCTCAGGACCCAGGAGGAAGGGGAGGCTGGCCCAGCGACCTGGCCCAAGTTCCTCAGCTGCAGCATCTTGGGGGTCTCAAAAACGCCCTCACTGTCTTCCCTTGTGCAGTGGACGTGGACTCCCAGGGCCCCGACAGCACCAGCCATCTGGAGAGTGAAGCTACCCGGGATTACTTCCTCAAGTGTAAGCAGGCACAGGGCTCTCCCCGCTGCTGGTCCCGGTGGCCGGTGTTGCAAGGCCCCAGCATCCGGGGGCATGGGTTCCCCTTCCTGGTTCATGGGTGATGGAGATCAGCTTCTGAGTGGTTGGCTATGGGGCTGAGCTGTGCTAATCGATAGAGAATGGGCCTGAGCGTGGGGAAGTGGGCCCATGGAGGAGGGCCCTGGTGGTGCAGTGGTTAGAATGTTCAGCTGATAACCAAATGGTCAGTAGTTCAAACCCAGCAGCTGCTCCACAGGAGAGACTTGGCAATCTGCTCTTCCCTAAGATTTACAGCTTTTGGAACTTGATGGGGCGGCTCTCCTCCATCCTGTGGGGTCACTCTTAGTCCGAGTCAGCCTGACAGTGACGGGTCTGGGGTTTGGGTCTGGGCCCATGTGCTGTCTGAGCCTCGTTCTAAACCCCACCTCTCTCTCCTGCCCATGGGGTCAGTTGCCTACATCGTGGACCTGGACAGTGACACAGCTGACAAATTCCTGCAGCTGTTTGGAACCAAGGGTGTGAAGCGGGTGCTGAGTCCCATCAACTACCCGGAGTCGCCCACCCGCTTCACCCACTGCGAGCAGGTGCTGGGCGAGGGCGCCCTGGACCGGGGCACCTACTACTGGGAGGTGGAGATCATCGAGGGCTGGGTCAGTGTGGGGGTCATGGCCGAAGGCTTCTCCCCGCAAGAGCCCTACGACCGGGGCCGGCTGGGCCGCAACCCGCTCTCGTGCTGCCTGCAGTGGAACGGCCGCAGCTTCTCCGTCTGGTTCTACGGCCTGGAGGTGCCCCTGCCACAGCCCTTCTCGCCCACCGTGGGCGTCTGCCTGGAATACGCTGACCGCGCCCTGGCCTTCTATGCCGTCCAGGATGGCAAGATGAGCCTGCTGCGAAGGCTCCGGGCCTCCAAGCCTCGCCGCAACGGTGGCCCCACCGCGCCCACAGACCCCTTCCAGAACTGCCTGGACAACCACTTCCTGGGGCTCTTCAGCCACAGGCTCAAACCTGCCTTCTTCCTGGAGAGCGTGGATGCGCACCTGCAGATTGGGCCCCTGAAGAAATCCTGCATATCTGTGCTGAAGCGGAGGTGATGGCGGGCCAGGCAGGAGCCTCCACGCCCCTCCCAAGGTCTCAGCTCTACAAGCTTCTCTCTCTGGGTCCTGTCTTGTCCCAGGAAGGCATCACCCCTCGGGTCACCTGCCCCAGCCTTCTTATCACTTGAGGTCCCCACCTCGCATCCACGTGACCATCCACCTCTCAGGAAGATGCTTCCCCAGCCTCCTTGAGTGTCCTGCTCACCTCCAACCCTCATTAAGGGAGAGAGCCATTGCTGGGACGGGACGAGGTTGCCCCTCCTCTTCCGGGTTCCTAGAGCAGAGCCCAGCACGCAGTAGGTGCTCAATAAACCTTTGTTGGCCGACTGGCTCCCTTTACTGTCCTTCTCCACCCACTAAGAATTCTCATCTTTTAATAACTGGGCTCATGGGCTGACCAGGTTAAGGCACAGGGCACACCTCAAGACTCCTGTCAGCAGGAGGGCCCTCGACACGCCTGTCCTGGTCCTGCAGGGGGAGCCTGGGCTGGCTTCTCCCCAGCCCCAGCCCTTCATAGTCCTGATGCCCGAGCATTTGTTCTGGACGGCCTGGGTGCCCGCCAGCTGTTTCTGCCCTTGAACCACACACTGCTCTGGCCCCAGGGATCAATGCGCACTTCACATCCTCCAGGGCAGGGATGAGCCCAGCACAGACCGAGGTGGGAACCCCTGAGTCCCTGCTCCTCACAGCCACACACAGTCATGCACACTCACAGTCAAACAGCCACATGCATACTTAAACACAGTCCTGTGTACACACAGCCACCTGCACACTCACACTCTGACCCGCTCATTCTCAGTCATGCGTGCCCTCAGTCTCACACATGCAGCCACCATTCATACCTTCTCATGTCAGTCACAGACACACACACATACACAGTCACATGCATGTTCACACACACGTACATTCACACAGTCATGCTTACACACACATAGTCACACAGATACACCCACATGTAGTTCTATGCATGTTCACACATGTACACTTATACACACAGTTACATATTCACATGTACACGCACCGTTACATGCATACATGTACACCCACGCATGTGCATGCTTACACATACAGCCACACCCATGTAAACTCACACATATACATGCTTACACACTCACATGCACACTCACATACACCGTCATGCTCACACATGTACACTCGGTCACATGCATGTTCACACTCAGACATAGTCACACCCATGTACACACACATATGCATGCTTGCACACTCACACTCAGTCACATGCATGCTCACACTCATAGACACACATACTCACGTGCACTCATGCATACTCACAGTCACACGTGCTCACGCATGTACACTCGGTCACATGCATGTTCACACTCACATAGACACCGTCACATACACCCATGTACACTCACACATATGCATGCTTACACACTCAATCACATTCATGCTCACACTCACACACACATGCTGACACACTCATGCATACTCATAGTCACACGTGCTCACATGTACACTCAGTCACATGCATGTTCACACTCACAGACACACTCGCATATTCACACACATGTACACTCACATGGTTACACGGATGCTGATGCACACACCGCCACACAGTCATGTATCACCTGTACACACGTGCACACACACTGCCTCCCACTTACACACCGGATGGTTCTCATGTACGCGTGCTCACATGCACAGGCCCCCACACATGGAGGTATACATTCCTAAATGACGACGTCATTCTTGGGAAGGTGGAGGGATGAAGACCCTCAACCAGGCAGACTGACACAGTGACCGCAGCAATGGGCTTGAGGGCGTCGGAGGTTGTAAGGACGACACAGGACAGGACAGAGTTCAGATCTGTTGTTCACAGGGTTGCTATGAGTCGGACCCAACAGCTCCTAACAGCAACAGGAACAACACATTGATAAATACTTACGTGGACACATACACTAACATGAGACACACTCACATCCAGTCACACATATTCCCAGTTACACACGTGCGCATACACAGTCACTCACACCTGTTTGCTCGTCACTCTTCAGTCTTAAGAAGCGGCATGGTTGAGGTCACCCAGGCTGGGACAGGTCTTAATATGCAATGCTTTATACAGTCCCGGCTGATTCACAGCGGCCCTGAGGACAGAGAGAACTGCCCCGCAGGAACTTCACAACTGTAATCTCTCAGAGAATGACTGAGTAATTCTTACAGGAAGTTTCCACAGGGAGTTTCATGCTAATCCAAAGGCCGGGCCTCTCTGGCCATTCAATCCACTAGCTGGCCTGAGGGAGGAGGGCCTTATCCTCCCATGAGAGTTACAGCCCCTCACTCCCGCTGGGGAGACAACTATTAATCAGTTCTGACTCAACTCAAGAGCAATGAGTGAGTGAATGCATGGTGTTTACAGAGGCAGACCAGACTGTCCCATCTTTCTCCCAAGGAATTGGATTCAAACCTCCAGCCTTTCACTTACCAGCCTAACGCATATCCCACTCTGCCATGTCTCCTCTGAACCTACAGAAAAATGCCCCCTGTGCCCTGGACTTGGCCTCTTGTCTCTGCACCCAGCTATGCATCAGGAGCACTGATGGGGGGGTCCCCTGTCCCCAGGGGGGATAGCCTTTGTCCTCTGCTGCCCGGAGCCCCTACCTGGAGCAATTGCAGGGCCAGCTTCACCCACTGAGATCACAGGGTGAATGTGTATCCACACCAGACACCCCCCATCCCAGTTGTTCCTCATGGCCCAGGTGCACCCCAGAAAGGGCAGTGCTCACAGGGCAGGAGCAGACAGCCTCCCCCGAGCTCAGGTCCAGCCAACAATGGTGAGCTGTGCAGCAGACAGCAAGGCCATACAAGTCCTACCCCTCCGACCCGACCCGCAGCTAAAAATATCTCCCCGCAGGGCTGGCCTCCCCAGGATGTTGTTTTTCCGGGTGGAGCCTCTGTGTTTTGTGTTCTTCACACCGTTCCCTTGGTAGCCGCTACAGCTCCCCAGCTCACCCTGAGTGGGGACAGGGGTGGGGTGCCATCCCAGCGAGGCCCTCTGGGGCCTCTTCAGGCCGCTGGCCTTTCACAGACACCCCCCCCACCCCAGCCCTGGGCCTGGCCAGTCCTAGACTCCCCACCCCACACACAGCCTGTGCCAGGAGCCCTAGACCCTAACCTCACAGAATGCCCCGTGTGTGTCAGGAATGGAATGCAGGCGAGACAGGGCCCTGCACAGAGCCGGGCCTCCTTCCTGGAATTCAGGCCTGATCGGTCACGTCCATGGGCACAAGGGCCCTGTCACTGGCAGGTTGATTTATAGCCTCCAGAGACTCGCTGAACCCAGTAAAAGCACTTCATCTCCTGGTCCCACCTTCCACCCAGACAGCTTGGCTGGCCAGGGCCTAACCCAGCAGGCAGGCCTCAGTGTCAGCACTGTCCCCAGCCCTGCCTCGCTCTTCCTCTGCTTCTCCCCTGGTGCTTGACTGGGGCGGGGGGAGTCTGTGTCTCTAGACATGTATCTATGGTGCGTGTTCACATATCTGCGTGCATGTCTGCTGTGTCTTTGTGTTTATTTGTCTATGTGTGTATCCATCTGGGTGTCTATTTATGTATGTGTGTGTGTCCAAACCAGTGATTTGCATACAATTCTCTAAGAAGAACAAATCCCAAGGAGGTAAACTGAGGCAGGCTGGCAGAGGGAGAAGCCAAAGCAACAAGCTATCCACTATTCCTCTAACGTTTTAACCAGGACAGATGTGGTTTTTTTGGGGTTTTTTATTATTATTATTATTTTTTTTATTTGTGTGTGTGTGTACCGTCAAATCAGATCTGACTGGTACAGGAGGAGATTGTCCCTCCTTCCCCGGCAGAGCATCTGGTGGATTCGAACCGTGCGCCTCTGGGATTGTAGTTGCAGTTCCTTGCCACTAGGCCACCAGAGCTCCCCTGACAGATGTGTTTTATACAAGGGCATTTGGAGAGAGAGAAGAAAATGTTAAAAAGAAAAAGCAAGAAACTGCACATGGAATTCAATTCTTCTCCTCACATCTCCATCTCTTACATGGATAAACCAAGGCCAGAGAGCTTGAGGAACTCTGTTCAGAACGCTGTTACTCCCTGGCTTGTGAGCATGTGAAGAGACACATTCACACCAAGACAGACAAGCACACACTTCACACATCCACACTCACACTCACATGGAAACACAGTCACACAACACTCTGACGAATGAGCCTTCACACGCACACAACACACACCCTTCACGCTGACACATTAACACACACCCTCACACACATCCATTCATAGTTAAACACACGTGAACATACATTCACTGTCTCACATTCACGCACAAACCTAAGCACACAGAGACACATACACATGCACACGTAACATATTTGTATATATTCACACTTCTACGTAAGCACACTCACTTATACACACACACACACACACACACACACACACACACACACACGTGCGCAGAAGGGGCCCAGTTCCCACGGCTTCCAGGACCCTTGGCAGAGCCGTGGGGCCCGTGGTCTCAGCAGCTCGGGCCGGCTGCACAGACAATGGCGGGTGTGGAGGCCCAGGGACCGTTCTCCCAGCCCACTGGAGCTGGCTCCTTCAGGCCAGGCAGGAAGCCAGCCTCTACTCAGCTTTGTTTCTGTGGGAAAGAGCTCTGAGCTCCAAACAACCGCCTGAGAGGGACTTCACCTCCTAGTTCACCCCCTCTTGGCAGCTGTGGAGGGCCAGGCCTGCACTGCTCAGGGCTCCCACCCCTCCCACATGGGGGCCCCCCAACACTCTCCTCAGCCCCCAGCCTCCTCCTTCCACTCTCAAAGGCCAAAGAGTCCTCACAAAAGTACCTCCCTGATTTCTTCCTCCCAGGCAAAGTGAGGGAGGCCAGACTCAGAGCAAACAGGAGGGCCAGGCCAGGAAGATGGGCCGGACTGGGAGGGGCTGGGATTTCCAACTGACTTTAATGAGCCTGAGCTTGTTTTGTCCTCTGGGAGAGAGAAGAGCATTTAGCTTCAGGC